GCCAGGCCTTCCTGGGACACCTCCAGGGCTGGGCACTCCAAACCTCCCTGGGCAGCCCCTTCCAGTGCCTGACCACCCTTTCCAGCGAGAAATTCCTCCTGTTGCACATTGGAAGATTGTCAAGTGTAATATTCATAAATATCTACCTAAAATTTTGGCTGATTTCCTAAATGGAGTTGTGTGGAGAGATTCTACTCCCTAGAGGCTCCAGAGAAGACCACAGAGATGATTTGGGGTCTGGAGCATCCCCCTGATGAGCAGAGACTGCAGGAGCTGGGCCTGGTCAGTCTGGAGGAGAGAAGGTGAGAGGGGATCCATCAATCCCCACAAATCTCCCAAGGGCTGTCAGGAGGGTCCCACACTCTGCTCAGGTGCCCAGGGACAGGACGAGGAGCCATGGCCACAAACCAAACCACAGCAAGTTCCACCTCAACCCCAGGCAGAACTTCTCTCCACGAGGGTGGAGAGCCTGGAACAGCTGCCCAGGGAGGGTGTGGAGTCTCCTCTCTGGAGACATCCCAGTCCCACCTGGACACGTCCCTGTGTCACCTGCTCAGGTGACCCTGCCTTGGCAGGGGGTTGGACTGGGTGATCTCCAGGGGTCCCTCCCACCCCCAGCCATTCCCTGACTCTGTGCAGGTGACACACACAGATCTTTGAGGTGACACACACAGGTGTCACACACAGGTAACACACACAGATCTTTGAGGTGACACACAGGTGTCACACACAGGTGACACACACAGATCTTTGAGGTGCCCAACATCACCCCTCCCTCATTCCTGCTGCAGGAATGGCTGAGCTGGGAGACGTGGAGAGCAAATGCAAATTACTGATGGAGTTTACCCCCGAAAATGTGTTCCTGCCAGTCGTTTTAGTGCCACTCTGGGGGTACAACTGGGGGCTGTGCCCACAAATCCATGTCTGAGCTGGTGACAGAACCTGGTGCAGAACCAGGTATTCAAACTTGGCTCAGTTTTAAGCCCAGCTCGTGTTATAACGTGTGTTTATGTGCCTTATTTTCCTCTCACCCTCTGTTTTTCCTCATCCTGAGCGTAGGGAATGTGTAGAAAGGAAGTTTTCCCTGGTTTTCTTTACTACAAGGTGGGTTTTCAGGCACTGGATGCTGTTTGGGGATCCTTGTAAAGGCTGTAGCAGGATGGGGTTCCACAAAGGGAGCAGAGCAGGGATTCAGAAAGGTATGAAAGGAGTAAAAAACTCTTGCCTGAGCCTTTGTTTGGGGTCATTTGCAGTAATTCCTCTGGGAGCTGCTGGACACCTCTGGAATGTTTCCCCACACGCCCCATTCCGCCCCATTACTCCGGTGGGGTGGTTTTATCGAGTCCTTCCCCACCAAGCCTGAGAGTGGCCGAGGAGAAAGGAGGCATGGCAGCATGAATAATGCCATTGTCACCCCTGCAGGCAGCCGGGAGCCCCCAGCCAGGCCATGTTTTATTCATGAGCTCGGCCCATCTGGGCTGCTCAATGCCGGCTCTGTGGTGCTCCTTCCCTTCCCAGCCCTGCCTTGGCAGCAGCCAGGCCCAGCACAAAGTGCTGGGGGAGCCTGGGGATTCTTGGAGAACTTGTGCTAGGTGAGAGTCTCCTTGGCAACCTGCTTTCCAGCTGGATTATGGATATACCTTCAAACGCTCATGAAATATTTGTAAACGAGTCACGCGGGGCGGGTTCCGAAGGGGACTAATGCAGGAATCTGTTAGTGGTTGTTAAATAAGTCACATATCACACACTGCCAGAGCCAGGACACTGAGCCAGCACACAAGTGCTGAAATATTTTCTGTGGCTTTTTTTGTATTTTTGTGGAATCCCACACTGGTTTGGGGTGGGAGGATCTTCAGGCTCATCCAGTTCCACCCCCTGGGCAGGGGCACCTTCCACCAGAGCAGGTTGCTCAGGGCTTGCTTACTCTCTGTGGCTTCATAATTAGTCAGAGTAGCCTATTTTATGGCAATTGGCCTAAATGACCTGAGTTTTTTTTTCATAATACTCTTAATGATGCAAATCACTGTTGTTCAGCTGTCACAAACTTCCTACACTTGAAGGTGTGGAGGGGGATCTGCCTGGAATCACTGAGCTCCTGCTGTTGCCCACACGCTCTGCTTTGGTCTCACCCAGAAAATCTCTTGAATTTCCTGTTCTCCCTCATTCCAACATGCAGAAGACTGAGAGAAAAACCCCCCAGTTTCTCCTAGAGCTGTGTTAGGGCTGAATTCTCTGTGGTGCTCACTGAGTTGTGTTGTAGTAACAGTTACAATAACCGGGAGATTTTAGGACAAAACAAGGTGAGTTCATCTGTTCCAGCTGGAAGATGGTCTGGAGCCTTCACCCAAACCAGCTGCAAGTATCGATAGGATTGTCATTGGTGCTGATTTTGATTTTGGTGTGGGTGGAACGAGGTGAAGTCCCCGGTCCCTCCCAGCCCCAGCCGTTCTGTGTTTTGCACAGACACGTTGAGATGTCCGTCCTCAGCCTCCCTTTGCCTCTCCCCTGTCCCTGTGCAGCTGGAGCAGCAGAGGCAGCAGCTGCTGACGGAGCGGCAGAACTTCCACATGGAGCAGCTCAAGTACGCGGAGCTGAGGGCCCGGCAGCAGATGGAGCAGCAGCACAGCCAGAACCCCCAGCAGCCCCACCAGCACCCCAGCGGGCCTGGCATGAACCCCCTCGGGGCTGGGGCACACCCAGGGCTGCTGCCCCACCAGCAGCCCCCACCATACCCCATGATGCACCACCAGATGCCACCTCCTCACCCGCCCCAGCCAGGTAAGAGCTGCAGGGAGGCATTCCTGCAGGTAAGCACTGTCTGGGATCTGAGCCCGGAGGGAGAGGTGCTGCCGGGTGTGGTGGGTGGTCTGTGTGGCTGGGTTACAGTGCTGCTGCTGTCACACACAGACAGCTGGCTGGAAAGGGGAGCTGTGCTTCTTCTCTCCTTCGTTTTGGAGCTTTTACCCCCGTTCCAGAGCTGTGGATGGAGTTTGGGGAGGAGGTTTCTTATGGATGGGTGTGAACCCCAAAAGCAGGGAAGGAGGGAGCCCCAGGCTCTCCCCAGCAGTGCCCAGTGACAGAGTGGGGGGCAGTGGGCACAAACTAAAACATGGAAAATGCCATCTGGCTGCAGGAAAACACTTGGTTTCCCTGTGAGGGTCGTCAGCCCTGGAGCAGATTGTCCAGCAGGCCTGGAAGTCCCAGTGCCTGGACACAGTCAGGCTCTAAAGTAAAGTAAAAAGACAAAGCTACCCCTAAATATCACTTCAGACTGTTTTAGGTTGTTTCTATTTCCTTAGACTTGTTTTATACCCGGTGATCTGAGCAGAGGTGCTCCTTCAAAAACAATCATTCCTCAAACTTTCCAGTTCATGGCACACCAAGCCATGGAAAAAAAATTAAGGGCAAGGACTGGAACAAGAGGCAGAGGCAGGAAGCTCCTTAAGGAACTTCCTTTGCAGGACACCCAGCTGTGACAGGTTCCTGTGTCCTCCTTGGATGTGTTTGGTGCCAACTGGGAGTCACAGGACCGTGTTTGTCAGGGGTCACCTGGAAGTCTCTGATCCAACCTCCTGCTTGGAGCAGGACCAGTTGGATCCTGTGGCAAGGGACTTGTCCTCACGGGGGTTGGGTGTCTCCAGAGGTGGAGATACTCCTGATTGCAGAAGGTGGAGAGGTCAGGTGGTGATGTTGTTGAAATGGTAGTTTAAAATCAGCTGACACTGTCTGGCACACGGTGACCTGGTGGTGTGAGTGGAGCACAGCCAAGGAGAAGAGCTGTTGTCAGTCCTCAGCTGCCTGACCAACCACTGCTCTGGAACAAGATCCCAGTGGTTATTAGCCAAAAATCTTCGAGAAGAATTTACCTAGGCTGCTGCTCTTACTCCTTTCATGAGGAATCTCTTCACAGAAAGGGTGATAAACATTGGCAAGGGCTGCCCAGGGAGGTTTGGAGTGCCCAGCCCTGGAGGTGTCCCAGGAAGGCCTGGCCGTGGCACTCAGTGCTCTGGGCTGGGGACAAGGTGGGGATGGGGCACAGGGGGGATCCATGGGCTGGGAGGGCTTTTCCAGCCTCAGTGATCCTCTGAAGAAGCTGAAGAGTTTGGGGTATCATGATCAAAATAGGACATGGCAACAGGAAGCTACAGGAGGTTGAGTTTTCCTCTTGGGAAAAGCCCTGTGTGAAGGGTTTGGTTTGGGAAAGAGCAGAAGGGCACAGGAAAACAGCAGGATGGGCAGGTGACCAGGAAAATGGGAGGCACCTGATCCAGCTGGATGTCCACAGCAGGACAACTGGAGTCACTCAGCAGATGTTGTGATGTTAATTGGGCTAATTGGGCAGGAGTTGTCTTGTGATGGAAATGCTCCAGTTCACTCTGGTTTTAAGGGCTGGTGAGTTCCTGACTTTGTTGTGGACAAAAAATGCTGAGACTGGTTGGAGCTGGTTTGGTTATTGCTGCAGTTGAACTGGGATGTGCTGAAATGCAGTCTGGTTTAGATTCCAGGAATATCACACCTCTGTGTGTCTGGTGGGGGGTGCAGCAACAACCCAGGGCTGCTCACGTGGCAGTGGAGGGAAGAAATAACCTGTGGAATGGAAAAAGGGGGAATTGAGAACAGATTTAAGGGGGGAATGGTGGCCTGTCATGGACAGCTCTCACTGACACGCTGCTGCAGAGCCTGGAGGTGGAACAGCATGAAATGCATTGTTGTATCCACTGGGGGACCAGGAAAACTCTGTTTCTAATACATTCACAGCCCTGGCTCACATCACTCCTTATTACTGCAGCCCCACCCAGGCTCTGCAGCCCCAGTGCTCCCTCTCTGTGTCAGGGAATGGGGGTCTGTGTTAATTAGTCAGTGCTTCTCTGCCTCGCATTTTATTAAAACTGGTCAATAGATTGACTTTTCCACCAGCACCTCCCCTGATGGAGGGCAGCAGAGTGATGGATGAGGCTCAGCACTCCTGGCTCCCACAGCAGTGTCTCATCCCAGACACCTCCAGGAGTAGGACTGTCCCCTCCACCTGGCCTGGCAGTTTTCTGGTTTGATACTTTTGTGAAGGGAAGAATTTGAGGCCCTTTCAGAGTTGGAAGCCAACCCCTCTGTGTCTGCAACCACATCCCAGCTGATCTTGCCTAGAGAGCAAAAGAGTCTTGTTTCCTTGAGTTCTGCAGTGGAAGTTTGTTGGGAATGCTTGGGAAGTCCTTTGGCTGCACAGTGGAGTTGGTGTAACTTGAGGGCAGGGAGGGAAAATGGCCAAGTCCACCATTTCCTCAGGTTCAGCACCTGAACCCTGAGCCAGTCCTGGGAGTGGGATTTGTACCCTGGGGATCCTGGAGATCCTCACTCCCAGGGACCTGCCTTTCTCTTCAGGCAGGTCAAGATGCCCAGAGTTTGGCTTCCCTTGAGAAAAGTCTCAAGCTGTGCCAGGGGAGGGTCAGGTTGGACATCAGGAGGAATTTCTCCCTGGAAAGGGTGGTCAGGC